TTTATCTTAATTTTTTTTATGTGGATTTGATTTTAATTATTTTCTTATTTTATGTGTGTTTAATATTGATTGATTTACAATAAGATATAATTCTTTTTTTTAAATGTTGATTGGACTGTAATTCTCCGTCATCATAAACTTCCCCATATATTTATAAAGCCGTAAATTAATGAGAAGCGATAAAATGAATCAGATTTATATTAAATGAAATTTGAAGAGATTGTTTTTTTTTTTTTTACTTTTTCTTGTTCTTAACTAGTTGATTTATGTTTACATTAGCTAATTACACTATATATCAAGTATCAAGTTCTTGTTACTTCTGGAGTAAAAATTATATTTTATGATAATTTTTGTGTCATCAAAGGCCACGGTTCAAGAAATTTCACATTTTAAAGTGCACATGCGTGCGGTGTAAAAATAATATGGGGTTCACATGTTATAAAATATCAATTAATTAAAATATTTAATTTAACAATTGAAATTTTTTATTTTAATATATGCGAGTTAAAGGTAAAAAAATTATCAGCTATTTGTTCTTATAATTACGTGATAATTATTTCTTAAATATTATATTCGACAATATTAAATATTAAGATTATGCAATATTGAAAATTTAAGATCGGTCCAAAGAATTAATTCATATTTCAATTAAGCATAATATGTAATTACGTTTTGACTGCTAAATAGTAGAGCAATTGATATCATGATATAAGCAAAGAGTAATGTAAAAATTTCTTTATCTTAATTGAAAAGGGTGGACTGTATTTGTAGACCAATGTAATGGTTTCAATTGCGTAACTAATAATAATAATTTTAAGGTACCCTTTAAAAATTAAATCGTGCATCTATAGTTGTTGTTGTTGTTTTTTTTTTAACTAACGATTTAAATTTAAATACAATAATAACATAATTTAAAAATTTATATCGAGATGAATTAAAAACTTATATAATATTTTATTATATAAATTTTTCTAAACTTGTTTCAAAATAAACAAGACAAGGAAAATAAAAAAAGAAGATAGATAATATAATTAGACTTCATTCTTTTACTCAGTATATACATATATTAAAATATGGGTATTTTTATAATAACCTTCAAGAATTTATATCTTGATTTTATTATTATGATACAATTCAAATTTATGTATATGATAACAAATACTTTTTTTCTATTATATATATCATATAAGGGAAAAATATTTGTTCTTTTAAATGATAGTTATTTTAGTTTTTAGATTAAAAATAAAAACCTCATACTTTCTCCGACCATAATTTCCCATTATATAACTCTTTCTCTCATCATAAAATACTGTAATTTTAACTAAAATGACATATCTTTTAAAGGAACAAATATTAATCCCCTCATATATTTCACATAGAGACAATGCTATCACTTTTGTATAGTTTTTATGAACCTTATCTTTGAAATTATACACATCATAGTAATTAATTTGTAAACATGAATGTGGAAGTCACTTCATGGTAACTTTTTTAAGTCACTTCTTATGTTGTTTTTTCATCACTCACCAATTAATCTTTGCGTCCATTCCTAGGAAAGGAAAAAAAATTAAATTAAAAATTATAATGGGTGGTTCAAAGTTCAAGCTTTTCTACGGTGCCAAATATCATATTATTTTATATATCTAGTCATATTATAAGAGAAAATATATTAAAAGAAAGGTATTTTAGAAAAATAAAGGTCATGATCAATTGAGCCGATATTATGTTTCATATTTCCTTCAGTAGCCTCTTCAAGACACTTTTTTGCTAGGGAAATTCTTGAATGTCCAAGTAATTATATCAATTCCGTTTCATGTTTCATCTTTGACTGTGTATATGAAAAAAGACTTTGTTGGTAGAGACAAAATCCACTTCGATGATCTCTACACCTCAAAAGGATTAATCTTAGGATGTCAGTTGAGAATACCTTAATAAAGAAACTAATAAAAAGTTCAATTGATAGCTTCTCAAAACGAGTTTTAACAGGTTTGTGATTGATTACCGACGAAATTCCAAGGAAAGTTATACATACGAAGGAATTGGAATGGAAATTGATTGACCAGAATACAGCCTGTTGCTAATTAATAGTAATTTTGTGCGAAAAATAACTTCCATATAAATTTTGAATAATTATAGATTGCAACAGATTTGTGATGGAATAATATTTTTTATTATATTGATTCTATAACAGATTCACGAAAGAAATAAATAATGAATTTATTTATCTCACAATTAATTTGCAATGGAATACATGTTTATTTATTTTTTACATAACAATCTCATTACCTATCATAATTCTTGATCTCTTTTTGGACTTCGTAATATTCTTGATAGTTTTGCATTTGTTAACTTATTAAATTGCTTTCTTAAACTTCTTTTTTAATATTGTTACAAGTTATACCACTTTTGAAGTCTTTTTTCCATACTCATTTATTATCATCAAAACTCTTGCATAATCGAAAACTCTATTTTGAATGCACTGTTTCACATAATAGATGAAATTATTAGCATTTGATCTTAATATAAATCAGAGCACGGTATTAAGGGATCTAACTTAAGTCCGAGTTTGTCCAAATATAAAAATTTGAATTAGGAAATTCAAGGATACACTAAATGCAGTTATTCTAGAAAACATAGGTCAATCAATTTTTTTTTGTTATACCGAACATATTTATCTTTTTGAGATGAGTGCGTCGCCTGAATATATATCTCCACAAACAAACTTTAATTATTTGAGCTAATTATAGGATTAATTCTCATTTTTTTCCCTACCTATTCAACATGTGTTGTCAATTGAGCTACACTCATTAGGTGTCAATTAAACATGACCTATATTTTGAAGGAAGCTTTAAGGGATGTGTTTTGAGCATTTAAATGACCTAACTTTTCATTCCTAAAACTGTCTTAATTTTTTTATATTGATTTGATTTAATTATTTTTTATTTTAAGTGTGTTTAATATTGATTGGTTTGTAATCAAATATAATTATTCTTAGAAAATTTACTTTTTTATTTTTAGGGGTGTATAATGTTGATTGGACTGTAGTCCCCCGTTATCATAAACTTCCCTTTTTCTTTTTAAAGGCGTATATGAATGAGAAGTGATAGAATGAATCAGATTTATATTAAATGAAATTTGAAGAGATATTTTCCTTTTATTCTTCTTATTTGATTTATGTTTGCGTTAACTACCCGTACACTAAGGTAGGGGTGTTCGCGGTCTAGATTGGATCGATTTTGGAAGCAAAAATCATCTGATCCAATACCTTCGATTTGATCTTATAATCATCCATTCGGTTTGTATTTTTTTTCAAATCCAATCCAATTTTTTCGGTTTGGATTGGACCGGTTTTCGATTTTCTGAAAATCCTAAAATTTATTTCATGATTATTGTGCAAATAACATCTTTTGTATATATTGGTTTTGTAAATTTTTTTTTTGAAATACAAAAGCATTAGTAAACTATAATATAGTTTTTTTTTTTGCAATGAAATATGAAGCTCTACAAAGATAAAATTTTGTTGATGAGATGTGACTAAATTTTTTCTTTGGTTTAGTTAATGGGTCTTGGGTTTAGAAATTTTTAGGTTATGATTAGGGAAAGATTCAAGTAGGTAGAGGCGAATTAATATATTGAATCGGTTTGAATTGGATCGATTTTCATCAACCCATCCAAAAACCGATCCAATTCAATTAAAATTTGCGGTTTTTTTCGATTTTTAATTTTTCGATTTTCGGTTTATTCGGTTATCGGTTTTTCGGTTCGTTCGCCGCGGTTTGAATCAGTTTGGATCGGTTGATGAACACCCCTACACTAAGGTATTATCAATCAAGTTGTGAACATAACTTAAGACGTCGGTTCTTGTTACTTCTGAGAATTTAAAAAAAAAAATTTGTGCAGCTATACTTTTTTTCCGTAAAACTAATTATTTAAATTTAAATAACACAATAACATAATTTAAAAATAAACTTCAAGAAGAAATAAAAACTTAAATTCAAAGTTTATAAAATTAAATTTACCAACTAAAAATTTATATAATATTTATGATAAAAGATTTTGATATAAATTTTTCGAAACCCAGACAAAGAAAATAAAAAAAGATAGATGATATAATTTGACTTAATTTTTTAACTTAGTATATGCGTATATTAAAATAGGAGTATTAATTTTTATAATAATTTCAAGAATTTATATCTTGATTTTATTATTATGATACAGTTCTAATTTATGTATTTCATAACAAATACTTTTTTTCTATAATATATATCATATAATTCACATAGAATAATGATATCACATATTTTTTTTATAGATTTTATCAACCTTATCTTTGAAATTGTACACGTTATTCATTTGTAATTGTTAGTATGAATGAGGAAGTCACTTTATGGTAATTTTTTAAGCCACTTCTTAGTTCTAAAGTTCTTTTTTCATCAATCACCAATTAATCGTTGCGTCCATTCCTGGGAAAGGAAAAAAATAAAATTGAAAATTATAATGGATGGTTCAAAGTTATCTACAGTGTCAAATTAATATCATATTATTTCTTATATCTAGTCATATTATAAGAAAAAATATATTAAAAAAAATATTCCAAAAAAATAATGGTCATTAATTACGCCGATATTATATTTCATATCTTCTTCAGTAACTTCGTCAAGATACTTCTTTGCTAGGAAAATATTTGAATGTAAGTAATCATATCAATTTCGTTTCTAGGTTGATATCATATTTGAACTACATATAAGTTGTGATTGACTAACACAACTCATCCCGCGTTCTTAATTATGGAAGTTTTTCTGATTAAGAATATTTTGATATTTTGTTGATGTAATAATTCAAAATACAAACGGCAAAACTAGATCTTCTTCCTACCCGTTAATGCAGATATTATTGAATTGAAACTCTATAAATAACCTTCATTGTGCCTGCTTCATTCAATCCCACTCTCACTCTCACACAGAGATTCAAAAGTTACAATATTTGTTAACTTTTCTGCCATGGCATCACACGGTGTGAATCCTTGTCCCTCTGAAGCCTCTAGCATCTCATCAACTTCCAAAGATGAGAATATGGCCATGAAACTGAGTGAGATTGGTCTCAAGCCTGAACTAGATCAGGCTTCCAGTTCCAAACCCTTGGCGCTGCTAGATCTCTTGAAGCTTTCCAATGGCGATAAGGTTGCTGCTCCTGAACCAAAGGTTGAACTTGATCTGTTCAACCCATCAGGTAATAATGTTGTTGGTTCATCTAATTCTAGGGTTCATGACACTGAAGGCATTGAGGAAAACGAAAACTCAAAGACAGAGGCAAAGAGTTTCTCATGCAACTTTTGCAAGAGAAAATTCTCTACCTCACAAGCTTTGGGAGGGCATCAAAACGCTCATAAAGGAGAGCGTGCCTTTGCAAAACGTTGTCAAACCCTTGGTGTCGGTGCTGGTAGTTTTGATCACTTTCCTTATTACTATTGGAGGATGAAGAGAGAACTGCCACGTTAGCTGCAGTTAGTTAGAAACATGCAGTTAGTTAAGAATATTGTTATTTCTGCCATGTCAGCTGCATTCTGTTAAGTTGTATTGAATATTGTTATTTCTTGTCTTTTACACTTTTAGCTTCCATGTATAAATACTGTGATGTAGTTCTTTGAAGGCAAGGCAATAATATGAGACTTTTCATTTCCATTATGGTATCAGAGCTCTAAATTGGAGCTCTGGTATAGCAAGAGAGAAAACACGAGAGTTTTATTTATTTTTTACCATGGATGATCAGAATCCTGATACGGCACATACAGAGGAGGAAATCCCTGAAGTTCATCAACTTTCCAGATCACACTCTTCTGGATCTCATCAAAATCAACTACCTGATTTTCTTACCAATCCTTCTAATCCGTTTTTCTTACATCCGAATGAATCACCATCAGTAGTGTTGGTTTCGCCGTTGTTGAATGCCAGTAACTATCACACATGGGCCAAAGCAATGACAGTAGCTCTCATCTCCAAAAACAAGATCGGATTCATCAACGGATCCATCATTCCACCGCTAGAAACAGATCCGAATTATTTTGCTTGGCAAAGATGCAACAACATGGTAGTAGCTTGGATCCATAAGTCAACATCACAATCTATCGCGCAATCGATCATTTGGATAGAAGATGCTCAAGATGTATGGTTGGATCTGCGGAGAAGGTTCTCAAGATCAGATGTATTTCGCATCTCTGATCTTCAAGAGGAGATTTATAGAATACAGCAAGGAGACAAGAATGTTACTGAGTTTTTTACAGAATTGAAAACTCTGTGTGATGAACTTGATAACCTTAAACCAATACCAGTATGTAAATGCAACACACGTTGCTCTTGTGGAGGATATGCGAAGATGAGAGAATATAGAGAACGTGACCACATGATTCGGTTTCTAAAAGGTTTGAACGACCAGTACTCACAGGTAAGATCTCAAATCATGTTGATTGATCCATTACCTGATGTTACTCGAGCTTTTGCAATGATAGTTCAACAAGAGCGTCAGTTTCAAGGAGAATTTCGATCAGCAAATCCTGTTAATGCTCAAGCCTTTGCTGTTATTGATGATCGTAACATGAATAAAAGAGTTTTTAATGGTCGTGGTTCATTTCCTGGTTTTAGAGGAAGAGGTAGAGGTCCAAATGGCAATTACAGTGGACGAAATTCATCATCTAATATGTATGGTGGCAGAGGCATCACCACCAGACTGTGTACACATTGTGGGAGATCGAATCATACAGTAGACACATGCTTTCATGTCCATGGATTTCCACCAGGATTCAAAACCAGGAATGATGTTAATTCCAGCACAAATAATATAACTCAGGACACACGAAGTGAGCAATCTGGTATTTCATTTTCTAATGATCAGTATCAACAACTTCTGAGTCTTTTGGAAAGAAACACAGCCATTCCAAGTTCAATGCCACATGCCACGAATTTCACACAAGTGTCAAACATGAATACCAGCCTTATGCAGCAACCAGGTATTTCGAATGAGAAGTGGATACTGGATACTGGTGCTACTGATCATGTCACATATATACAGTCTCATTTGTTACAGTTACAGAAAATTAAGCCTATTCGAATTAGTTTGCCTAATGTTGATTATGCTATGGCAACACATTGTGGAAACATTTCCTTATCTGCTAAACTCATTTTATATGATGTCCTTTATGTGCCTTGTTTCTGAGTGAACTTAATACCAGTCACAAAACTCCTAAACACTATTCCTTGTACCTTACAATTTTGTGGTTCTATGTGTCACATTCAGGAAGCACACTCCCAGGTGAGGATTGGTATAGCTGAGCAAAGGGATGGGTTGTATGTGATCAGTGGCAAGGCTGCTTCAACTGCTTGCAAGACATATTCAACAAATGGTTATAGTGCTATGAGTAGTTATACTTTGAATAAGGGTGCTTCTGTTTTATGGCACCAAAGACTTGGACATATACCAGATTCTGTAATGAGAGAGATGTCATTAAAATTTCCCTTTATCCCACTTGTAAGTACCAACCCATGTGATGCCTGTCATTTTGCCAAACAAAGGCAGTTGCCATTTTGTGACAGTAAAACTCAATCCTCAAGAATTTTCCATTTGATCCATGTTGATATTTGGGGTCCATATTCAATTGCATCCATTGAGGGTCATAGATATTTCCTTACAATTGTTGATGATATGTCAAGATACACTTGGATTATCCTAATGAAGTCTAAGAGTGAGACTAGAACACATTTACAACATTTTATTGCCTATGTTGAAAATCAGTTTCAGACTCACATAGGCACAGTTCGAAGTGACAATGGTAGTGAGTTTCTAATGTCTGAGTTTTATTTACAAAAGGGAATAATACATCAACGTAGTTGTGTAGAATGCCCTCAACAGAATGGAAGAGTGGAAAGAAAACATCAACATATACTTAATGTAGCACGTGCTCTATTATTTCAGTCCAAGGTCCCAATTCAATTGTGGAATTTTGCAATTACTCACTCTGTCCACTTGATAAACCGAACATGTACACCTCTTCTCAACCATAAAACACCCTATGAAATATTGTATAACATACCTCCTACTCTAATCCATCTCAAAGTGTTTGGTTGTTTGGCTTATCCATCCACCTTACAAAACCATCGACTGAAGTTCTCACCTCGAGCCAGAAAGACAGTATATCTTGGACATAGAACTGGAATGAAAGGTAGTCTGTTATATGATGTTATTTCTGGTGAGATATTTGTGTCAAGGAATGTGCTATTTTATGAGACTGATTTTCCTTTTCTCGAAACCAATTTTACAAGCACTAACTCTGATATATCATCCAATATACAAACACCTGAGTTTGATGATTACCTTCCACATATACAAACCATCCACCAAATGCCATCCAATCCAAATATAGCTCAAAATCACATACCATCTGAACCAAACCTAACTCAGAACCACATATCTGAACCTATCCTTGCCTCACAACCTGAACCTATTCCATCTATATCTCCAATACCTTTACCTCATGACACATCAGTGCCACCACCTCGTCGATCTACAAGGACCAAAGCACCTCCAAAGTATCTTGATCAATATTATTACAACCCATCCAGCTCTCAGCATATCAGTACTTGCCCAGGTATGTCTTCCACTGATCTTCCTAAATACTCCATGTCCAATTACCTGTCATATACACATTTCTGTCATACTGTTTCATCACATATTGAACCAACCACATATAATCAAGCTGTCAAATCTGAGGATTGGTGTAAAGCCATGCAGTCTGAAATTCATGCTTTGGATCAAAATAATACTTGGAAATTAGTTGCTCTTCCTCCGGGAAAACAACCTATTGGCTGCAAGTGGGTTTATAAGATTAAATACAAGTCAGACGGCTCTATTGAACAATACAAAGCACGACTCGTAGCAAAGGGCTTTACTCAAGTAGAAGGTGTGGACTTCTTTGATACATTCAGTCCTGTAGCTAAACTGGATTCTATACGGATTCTTCTTGTTGTTGCAGCTTCAAAAGGGTGGTTCTTACATCAATTAGATGTCAACAACGCGTTTCTACATGGTGACCTTCATAAAGAAGTATACATGGTACCGCCACCTGGTCTTCTTCCTGATAAACCTGGTCAAGTATGCAGGTTGCAAAAATCTCTATATGGATTGCGCCAAGCTAGCAGGCAATGGCATGCAAAGTTGTCTGGTTTTCTCTTTTCACTTGGATATCAGCAAACTCAAGCTGATCATTCGGTTTTTATTTTGCAGCAACAAGATTCATTCACTGTTTTATTAATATACGTGGATGACATTGTTCTTTGTGGCAATGATATGAATGAAATTGTTAGAGTTAAACAGCTCCTTGATGGTAAATTCAAAATTAAAGACCTTGGTCAGCTTCGATACTTTCTCGGATTTGAGGTCTCTCATTCCTCTCGTGGCATCATCCTTAATCAAAGGAAATATACCCTTGAGCTTCTGTCGGATTCTGGTCTTACTGCTGGGAAACCAGTCTCTACTCCTATGGGTGCTACCATCAAACTTTCACGCGACACAGGGGTTATTTTGTCTGATCCTTCTCCTTATCGCAGATTGATTGGAAGACTTTTATACTTGACCAATACAAGACCGGACATATGCTTTGCTGTGCATCAGTTAAGCCAGTATGTATCTCAACCAACTGATCTTCATTTGGCTGCTGCCAAACGTATTTTGCGTTATCTGAAAGGTTCCCCTGGATATGGTTTATATTTTCCAGCAACTAATGACCTTAAAGTTCAAGCTTTTGCTGATTCAAATTGGGCCAATTGCCCTGATACTCGGAAATCAACTTCAGGATTCTGCATTTTCTTGGGGTCTGCTCTTGTTTGCTGGCACTCCAAGAAACAGACCACAGTGAGCAGATCTTCTTCCGAAGCTGAATACAGAGCTCTTGCATCTCTCTCTTGCGAGCTCCAATGGCTACAATTTCTATTTCAGGATCTCCATTTACCTTGGTCGCGCCCTGCTTCCGTCTACTGTGATAGTCAATCATTTGTTTATCTAGCTCATAATCCTACTTTCCATCAACGGTCTAAACACATTGAAATTGATTGCCATGTTACTCGTAGCAAGATTCAATCTGGCTTAATTCATCTCCTTCCTATCAGTTCCGCTGCTCAGCTTGCTGATTCTTTTACAAAGCCACTCTCTTCTACCCCTTTTCATCATGCTATGTCCAAGCTGGGGATGTATGATCTCCATCGCCCAGCTTGTGGGGGGGTATTGGAGGATGAAGAGAGAACTGCCACGTCAGCTGCAGTTAGTTAGAAACATGCAGTTAGTTAAGAATATTGTTATTTCTGCCATGTCAGCTGCATTCTGTTAAGTTGTATTGAATATTGTTATTTCTTGTCTTTTACACTTTTAGCTTCCATGTATAAATACTGTGATGTAGTTCTTTGAAGGCAAGGCAATAATATGAGACTTTTCATTTCCATTAATTACCCTTATTCAACACTTTCTAATTTCTATGAAGGATCCTTTAATAATAATGCACTTGGGGTTCGAAGGGACTCCACGATTCACAAGAAGCCTCGAAGGGACTCCACGATTCACAAGAAGCCTTTCTATCCTTCTTGGTACTCCACTAGTTCCATGTATGGTCACGCTTGGTCAAATCAGGGTCAGAGAATTCTAAACTCTTCAGCACTTGGTGGCTTTGGAATTCTGAGAAGTGGTGCAACTCCAAGTTCAAGGCTAGAGGATGATAATGGTACCGCTAGAAGACTTCCTCTTTCAGCAAATGCTGCTACCAATTCATCAAGCCAAGCAATAAACAAACCAACCCTAACAGCAACCGCTGATCATCATTCTGTGCCAGAAGAAGCCGCCAAAGCTGAATCTTCTGATCTTGATTTGTCACTTAAGTTTTGAAGACGTAAATTGTTTGTTTCAATTTTTAGAGGATTTTTAATTTATTATCAATGATGTTATGTCATGTGATTCAGGCTTCAAATTACAGATTTGAATAAGAAATTATTGTTATTTATATTGTTTCATTTTTTTCTTTATTCATTTGAGATGAACAATGATATAACTTTATATCTTCGTTGGTAAGAAATTCAATTGCGATTGTTTTCTTGGAACGGATTTTGAGAGATTCCTGATTGATTACTGATGAAACCTCCAAAACAGAATTTTCGGATCTTGATTTGTTACTTAATTAATCATTGAAGTTGTAAATTCTTGTTTCAATTTAGAGGCTTTATCATCACTAAACGATTGTTATGCAATTCATGCTTCAAATTGCAGATTTGAATATGAAATTATTGGTATTAATTTTGATTTATTTTTTCTTTATTCATTTGAGATGAATAACATAAGTAGTGCGTTCATTATAGTAAAAGTCGATAGCTTTTTGTAACGAGTTTTGATAGGTTTGTGATTGACTATCACTAAGAAAATTTATATATCTTAAGGAATTGGAATGGAAATTGATTCACCAGAAATTCCACAATACAGCCTCTAGCTAATTAGCCGTAATTTTGTGCAAAATATAACTTCCGTATATATTTTGAATAATTATAGATTGCAACAGATTGGTGACAGATTCATGAAAGAAATAAATAATGGATTTTATGTTACAATTAATTTTGAATGGAATAAATATTTATTTATTTTTTATATAACAATCTCATTAGCTGTCATAATATCCTTTTTCATAATTTATATACTAAATTGCAATAAAAATCAATAAATTTGAAAACATCAAACAGAATGGGTTTCGCCCCTAATTAAGTTGGTTTCTTTCACTCATCATTCATTGGTACAAAATTAGAAAATAGTCAACGTCTGCATTCATAACAAAAATATTTAAATTTCTTACTGTGGTAGAAATTTATGAAAGGTTTTTAAAATTTTAACCATATGAAAATAAATATAAAGTATTAAATTTGAGGAATCATACCCATACAAAAATGAAAATAAATATAACCATTAGATCAACATAATCGATCTAACGGTGAAATTGTTTGGTAATAACATTAATAGTAACACTAATTGGTTGTTACAATATCTTACCCTTTTTTTTATTTTACTATTTTCATTGCTTTTTACATAAATTTCTTTCTCCTGATACCATAAAAGGTATAATATATCATGAATTTAGTAACACCAATCACATAAACTTTGATTTTTGGAGTCATATGATTTGTTCTTAAATGGTATTGATTTTCACATGAAATAATTTTCCACATAGTTATGTGGTAATGAGCTTATATGGTATAAAATCATTTTATTTTGTATTTGTTACGATCTGATAGATCGTGATTGTCTAATCAGAGATTGGTATGTTAATATAGGATCTGTTTGCCCTCCCTCAGGTACCTATAGGAGAGGTACCCTAAAGATAAGCGGATCACTGTGCACTATAATATAACGACATAGCCAAGGCGTGGGGTGTGTGCACAGTGACAAGCTAAGAGAGAGAGTTTAGAATGTGTGTACCTTATTGGTTTAACCCTTATTTATAGATGGGTTACCTGGGAGGAGTGAACTTTTCGGCCTCTTAGGAGTATTGGGGGTCCAATTGTTGATCCATTGCTGTCGTAGTAGGATTAGTATAATTAAAGGAATATTTTCTTAATTCCATCTTAGTTGTTAGCCCTATTTGAGCCATCTAGAATATAGGCCTTTGTCAGGTCCATAACAGTTGCCCCTCAGCCCGGTAGTTTGGTTGTCCAGGCTGCCGGGGTGAATTGTCTTGCCTTTTGCTTCAGGTTTTCTGCTGAGCTGAGAGCATTTGAGTTTTTGTAAACTTTTTGCATATATGTTCCTTACATCTCATGCTTTTAAACCGAAATTCTTGTTACTTCTGAGAATTTAAAAAAGAAATTGTGCAGCTATAAATTTTTTTTTTTGCAAAACTAATTATTTAAATTTAAATAAGACAATAACATAATTTAAAAAATAAATCTCAAGATGAATTAAAAACTTAAATTCTAAGTTCATAAAATTAAATTTACCAACTAAAAATTTATATAATATTTATGATAAAATATTTTGATATAAATTTTTCTAAACTTGTTTCTAAATAACCCAGACAAAGAAAATAAGAAAAGATAGATGATATAATTTGACTTAATTTTTTAACTTAGTATATGCATATATTAAAATAAGAGTATTTTTATAATAATTTCAATAATTTATATCTTTATTTTATTATTATGATACAGTTCTAATTTATGTATTTCATAACAAATACGTTTTTTTCTATGATATATATCATATAATTCACATAGAATAACGCTATCACATATTTTTTTATAGATTTTTTTTTTTTTTTTTTTGATAACATTTTTTTTATAGATTTTATCAACCTTATCTTTGAAATTGTACATGTTAGTTATTCATTTGTAATTGTAAGTATGAATGAGGGAGTCACTTTATGGTAATTTTTTAAGTCACTTCTTAGTTCTCAAGTTCTTTTTTCATCAATCACCAATTAGAGCCCGTTTGGATGGGCTTTTTTTATTCAAAAGCTGCTTTTTTTAAGAAAAAAAGTCCTTTTCGAAAAAAGTCTGTTTGGATGTCTGCTTTTAAAAAAAACAGAAGTCATAAAAAAGCTAAAAACTTACTTTTTTCAAAAGCTAAAAATTTTAACTTTTAAAAAAAGCAGAAGTCAAAAGTCAAATATGTTTTTTCAAAAATCAAATATTTTTTTAAAAATCTAAATAGCTATAACTTTTATAGAATGTACTTTTAAAATAAGGAAGTGATAAAAAGGACTTTACTAAAAAGTCCATACAAACGCAGCCTTAATCGTTGCGTCCATTCCTGCGAAAGGAAAAAAATTAAATTGAAAATTATAATGGATGGTTCAAACTTATCTACAGTGTCAAATATCATAATATTATTTCTAGGGGTGTGAAAAAACTGGTTCACTTAGTCTGCCCTTGATCTGACCTTGACCTGACCCACTTTTATTTGAGTCAGTTTTAGACCTGACTTGTTTTAATAATGACACATTGATCCAAAACTTGACCCATACCCATTATGTGAAAAAAATAGAAAAAAAAATCACAATTACATTAAAAGAAAAGTTTTAACGTAAAACAATTACGTCATATTTTTTTTCGGAAAATAAATCCACAAAAAATTTTTGCAAAAAAATTTGACGAAAAATATTTTCATCAAAATTTGTGACTAAAAATATTTCTGTAAAAAAATTTGACAGAAAAACTTTTTTTGTCAAATTTTTTACGGAATCTAAATTTTGTCAAAATATTTCACAAAAAAACAAATTCATCACAAATTTCGACGAAACTCATTTTCATAGAAATTTTTTGAAGAAAAAAATTTCAACACAATTCTTTACAGAATTCAAATTTCGGTGAAAGTTTTCAACAAATATATTTTCGTTAAATTTTTTGACAAAAAAAAAAAAATTCGTCCAAATTTTTAGCGAAACACATTTCCATCGAAAATTTTCAACTAAATATTTTCTTCAAGTTTTTTGATAAAAAATATTTCAATAAAAATTTTCAACAGAACACAATTCTGTAAAAAAAATTAGTAAAATTTTTTGACAAAAAATATTTCGATAAAAAATTTTGACCGAAAAAATATTCTGTCAAAATTCTTTAGAGAATCTAAATTTCGTCGATATTTTCAAATGAAACATTTTCCTTAAAACAATTTCCGTCAGAACACATTCCTATCAAAATTTTGAACTAAAAATATTCCGTCAAAATTTTTGATGAATTCTTTTTCGTTTAAAACATTTGATGGAGGAAATCATTTTCGTCAAAACTTTTGACGGAAGCTAAATTTCGATTGAAAATTCCTTTTTGTAAAAATTTTCATTAGAGAAAAAATTCTGTCGCTTTTCGACAAAAAGTATTCCGACGAAAAAATAATTTTGTGACAAAATTTTGCGTCGTTTGCAACGTAGAAATTTCAACGAAATTTTGTGACGAAACTAAGTCAAAAAGGGTCAGGTCAGATTTGACCCACTTCAGAAATCAAGTCAGACCCAATTCAAAAACCAAGTCAGGTCAGATCCGACCCGGTTCTGAACTAGTTCAAAAAAATCCAAACCAAGTCACGCCTGACTTGGATCAAATTAAAGCGGGTCGGGTCAAAATACCTGACCTATAAAAATCAAGTTGGGTCGAGTCGGCACAAAAACCTGACCCGACCTGACCCATGTACACCCCTAATTATTTCATATATCTCCCCATATTATAAGAGAAAATATATTAAAAAAGGCATTTCAAAAAAATAATGGTCATTAATTAAGTCGATATTATAGTTCATATCTTCTTTAGTAGCATCTTCAAGAGACTTCTTTGCTAGGAAAATATTTGAATGTAACTAATCATATCAATTCCGCTTCTCGGTTGATATCATATTCAATGGTGTGAAAATCGAGATTTTAAGTAAAATTGAAGGGGATTAAAAAATCATAAAATGTAAAATCGTAATGTAAAAAAATCGTAAAAAATTTGATGAAAAAAATTATAGTGATAAATCGAGATTTTAACAACTATGATCATATTTGAACTACATATAAGTTGTGATTTACTAACACAACTCATCCCGCGTTCTTAATTATGGAAGTTTTTGTGATTAAGAATATTTTGATATTTTGTTGATGTAATAATTCAAAATAAAAACGGTAAAACGAGATCTTCTTCCTACCCATTAATGCAGATATTATTGAATTGAAACTCTATAAATAACCTTCATTGTGCCTGCTTCTTTCAATCCCATTCTCACACGGAGATTCAAAAGTTACATTTGTTAACTTTTCTGCCATGGCATCACACGGTGTGAATCCTTCTCCCTCTGAAGCCTCTAGCATCTCATCAATTTCCAAAGATGAGAATATGGCCATGAAACTGAGGGAGATGGGTCTCAAGCCTGACCTAGAT